TGTAATGTTAATAATTAATGATCATACAATCAAATAAATCATCATCTTGTAATAATTTTAAAAACCACTGCCTGAAAATGCTCCTAAATTTTTTTTAAATATATATCTTCTTTAGTTTTACCATATTTGTTTCAAAGCATCATTTACTATCAATCTTATTTAACTTTACTTTATTTGTACCCAAAAGTAAGTTAAAAAATTTTGTGTTTAGTTTTTTTTACCATTTTATCAACATAAATATGTTTATGCAAGAATTAAGCGTGAAAAAAGTGCGCAAAATGTAGTAAAAGTGATTTAAAGAGATATACTAAATCTTTATTTGAAAAAACTGTGACTTTCAAAATCTCATCACTTATACAATGTATCACATTTAATAATTAAAAACAGTTAATCATACAAACGCCATAGATTTCAATGCTAAGATAAGCCAGATCTTCCCTATTCCTTCTTGCTGCATGTGTGTGATGCGCACTCTGCCCACTGGGTAGGTGTATCTCTTATAAGGTCCATGGGTGAGACTGGATCAGTTTTCTCTGAACTTTGAATTGTGTTCCATTTAACGGTTTAGCAGTTTGAGGAAAAATTTCAGCATTTTATTTCTTGTGATAAGAATAAATTTTATTAACTTTTTTTTTATCAGACTTGTTCATTCAATCTACTGCGAAGGCGCAACACTTTTTGTGTCATGAGTGAGGAATGCTGAGCGGCCATACTGTTCTTAGAATTTAAAAAAAACCCAATCACCAATAAATTGAAATTTGCCATATTAAAAATTACTCTTCCCGCTGATCTTTCAAACAAAATAAAATAGCTCAGAAAATAATAATGGAAACCCAGCTTCAGGTAAGATTACAAGTTAAAACTATCCTCGCAGGTATTTTATTTTCGAGAGATTTGAGTGAAAAATATTCCCCTTGTTTTACCTGCTTGGCAACATGTTTGAATGTTTCAGAACTTTTCCCCCGTTTCGGCTTATACTTTTGGGTAAATTTAAAAAAAAAAAAAAAACTCTCGCATAGATTTGGATATAGTAACTTTTCAACTTTGAATTTATTATTACCATTAAATTTATTGAAACACAGCTCTTTAGGGTTAGCTTCACCCCCCCCATTTAATCAACACACTCCACATGTTTCAGAATGCATTAACTTCTTTCCTAATGGGTTACCTTTTCCAGAATTCTTAATAATAAATTACATTAATCTGCAGGACTATATACCAATACAATTTCTGAAATATGGAAGTTCTAGATCTGGAGAAGGGAGGGAAAGTAAAACTGGAATTTTGGCTGTATCTGGATAACAATCACCGCTGCAAATAACTGGTTTTTAAATCTGCAAAATCCTTGCTTCCTGTGATATGTATCCATTAATAGAGTCCAGAAGGAAGAATTTCATGTGCATGATAGAGATTAACTGAACATTTTTTTCCAAGATTGAAACTAATAGGGGAGAGTAGCCTAATTTGGACCAATTTTGTATTTTTCACCATTATTCATTTTTTTCTTCTCCATACAGTTATTCGACCATCGGAACCAAAAATGTTAAAATTGCTTTTCAGCAAATAAACATATTCTAGTAGTTCGGGTGTATTTATCATTGATTTTGCGAAAGCCTAAGCTTTCTGTTTTTCTCACAATTTTTTTTTCCGGGGCAGAAACGCCATGTTAATCCAGCTTCTCTGAAAACTGCGTCAAACAGTTTAAGGTGAAACTGAAGTAGAAAACTTTGCATAAATTCTGCAGAAACTTTTACAGCACTCAAGTGGGTTTTCACAAAAATTTTCTAATAATAAATCATCATCAGTTTAGTTAACTTCCTCGGTCGACTTTTTTACTGTTTTCAATCCGATTTTTCTTTAAAGCGTTTATCACATATTGTACTGAGAATGGAATAAATTAACTAATTTAGCGATATTTCAAATTTATTTCCACTATGGTGAAAAATTATAATTTTCGAATGCTATTCGTAATTTCTTTACGACTGCAACCCATTTTTCAATAATAAATAGAATATTATGAAGTAAACACAATAAAAAATTAAAGCAAGCAATTTTTAATGCCCACAATGCAAAAAATTAAAAAAAGCAGCAAACGATAATTCTAATTTTGATTTTACCCAAAAATATTAAGTACGAAGACTTTTGGAAGATAAAGTTTATCATTTTTTGATTATTAATTTCTTTAAAAATACAGTTTGCTAATTTTAAAAAATTTCATGTAATTTTGTTATGAATAGATTATAGATCTTATATTAAATTCATCAGAAGTTACTTTTAATTAATGGATAGGCTCTATTTCATGAAAATCATAAGTGTACAAACACTTTTGGGAGCCACAGTATGTGCCATCACCTACATAAATTTTTGTATAATGCATATGCTGCATAAACAAATCTACACTAAATTAGCATGTTTCAATAAATATTAAATATATAAAGGCTTCTTATTCAAAGATCTATAATTAAGCAACCATTTTATTCTCAGAACATTAAATTTTCTATACTAAAACAGCAAATTTTTAAAAGTTAACATTTAAAGTTTGTAATCAGTGTTTCCAGTTTACATATTACAAATTGCTGAATTCACACTATAACATAAATCCAAGAAACACAGTAATGTTGGAAACACACATCCAAGTTAGATTTCATTCACTCAATTAAAATTTCTGAAAATCACTAGAACCGAATGCTAATTTTTAAAATTTCAATTATACTGCATCAAAAAATGCAAGAGGTCCAGGTTAATAACTTCACGATCAAAATCAGGTAAAAGGAAAGTGCTAATCATAATTTTATCAATATTCGCTTCCCCCCAAAAAAATGCTTGGCAATAAAAAAATTAGAATCAGAACACAAAAAAACCACAATGTCAAGATGAGTTGTACAGTTTATTATGTGATGGAAACATATACACAATAAATGTTATTACAACTTCAGCTTGGTTCTTCTCCAGTGACGACGCTTTGCATTATATCTGAAAATAAAGAATTACCCATTAGAGGATATTTATTACAAGAGCTGTTTAATATTTATATTTGCTTCAGATTCATAAAAATAAAAATCATAATTTTCTTTATAATTATTTAAAGCACTGCCTCCTCATAACATAGAAGTGAGTATGCTATTTGGGAGAGATGAAAATCTAAACCATAAATATAACCAATTTAAAAAACCATACAAGAATATTTCTGTCAATAATATTCAATTTTTTAACTTGAGAATTTAAGGTATGTCCCACAGAAGAATAAAATCTAGTTATTCTAGTATTATTTTCTACTTATAATTCTAAATCCATAAAAAAATTGTTATTCTTACAAATTGAAAATATATCTCTCATTCTTAGAAAAGTAAATCATTAAAAGCATTTAAGAGCGCAGCACTGTTTTAACTCTTTTATGAATTTCTAAATAAGAATTCAGATAAAGAATCCCCCAAATTAGTCTAAAGCAAAATATTCTACTATATCTGCATTCTGTAAAGAAAATATACTGTTAATTATACATAAAAATAATATTGTTACGTTTTTCTTCTCGCGGTTACTTTTTCAGTTAACTTTTCCAGTTACTTTTCCAGTTACTTTTCCATTACTTTTCCAGTTACGCGACTTTCCAGTTACTTTTCTTACTTGTGTTACTTTTTCATTTACTTTTTTTAGTTTTTTTTAGTTACTTTTTTTAGTTTAGTTTTTTTTTAGTTACTTTTTTAGTTTACTTTTTTAGTTACTTTTTTTTTAGTTACTTTTTTTAGTTAACTTTTTTTAGTTTATTTTTTTAGTTACTTTCCAGTTATTTTCCAGTTAGTTTCTTTTCCAGTTACTTTTCCAGTTACTTTTCCAGTTCTTTTCCAGTTATAGTTACTTTTCCAGTTACTTTTCCAGTTACTTGTAAAGTATTACAGTTTACTTTAGTTACTTTTCCGTTACTTTTCGAGGTACTTTCATTACTTTGCAGTTACTTTGCGTTATTTTCAGTTACTTTGCAGTTACTTTGCAGTTTTTTCGGGTGGATTTCGAGTTACTTTTCTTCTTGTGCATTCGGACCCTCACGGGTATATGTCGACAATCACAGATATGCTCTGGTGTAGGTCAAAAGAGAGGTCATTAAGTATAAGTAGTCATATATTAACTTCTATTATTTTTCTTTCTCATTTTGATTGTACCATATATTTTAAGTCTCAAGTGCATTTTTTTCACGACTGAATTATGGAGAAGAAAATAAAATATTCTTATATGTTCAACATTCACCACTAATACATGGTGAATGTCGACATTTACCGGTATAAGTCAGAAATAAGAATATTTGGAAAATATTTCAGACATACACCAAGTGACTATGTGAATGTTGACATTCTCCAGATCTCGGTGTTTCACCGTAACATATATATACAGATATATATAATTGCTCTTCTTGAACTTAATCTCTTATATAATCATTTGTATTCTGTTTTCCTCAGGGAATTATCTTTAGACAGTGTATTCACTTCAAGTGCTGCTGCTGATTTAGGTTATAGTGAAACACCGACACCCTCTCATACAATGGAAGGTAGCAGTACATACAAAACAGAACATTCTCCATGCCCTGCAGATCACACTACATTGTCAGGATCTCCTACCAACAGCAGTGTAGATGCTCCAGTCGAAAATTTAAAAGTTGATTCTAATGATTTCAGGTGAATTTTCAACTTTTCTGTTTGGTTTAAATAATTTAATGTTCCTTGCATGAACAAACATTCTGTGCCAAATTCTCAAAAGTTCAAAATTGGAGTTCATTATATTTCCAATACCATTAAATACGTTTTTAAAAGGTTATTGTATGAGTTACTCATATATTATCATACAGAAACTACAGTCAACTCCCAATTTAAGAGCGCAATAACTAGGATGACATCCATGATTCATGCAAGAACTAGTGAAAAATGCAGAAAAGATTAGTAGTCCATATTTTAATTAACAAAAAATACTGTGAGCAATTAGTCTGTATTTTCAAGCAGTTTAATCTTCAGGCTAAGTTCATCTGGTTATGTAAATTAAATCAGCAATCAAAGCAAACAAAACCTGCTTCAAAATAAAAGGAACAATGAATTTGTTTGGCTCACTTTTATATTACGATAAGAATCAATGTGAAATCGAAGATTAAATTCAATATGCTTGATTTATTTTTATGATTTAGTAGTGAATCATTTTAAAATATTTATATATTCCAAATATACTGTTCTTTTCCCTTCTGTGTTTTGAATTGATAGTTTTATTTTATGTTGATAGTTTGTGACAGTCTTTTTTTTTTTTTTTTTCAATGATTTGAAAATTTAAGAAAAATTCTTTTATGCAAGGATCTTATTAATCTGTTCTCAGTTAATATGGATAACTGGGACTGTCAGTTGCTTGTGATTAAATTTGGCACCATGATCGGTATAGTGATTAGCAATGCTTGCTGCTGTATTATTGGATCTGAGCTCCCAATTAATCAAGAGTTGACTGTGATCAGGTTTGCCACTCTGATCAGTGTAGTGGCTAGTACTGCAGGCTTTTGTTCATGAGACCTGGATTTGAATCCCAGGGGCATAGTTAGAATGTCTCTGTGGCATGATGTTACTTAAAATACTAATGAGCAGGAAGTCCTCTTGAGTGGTTTGCTTGTAAGGAATAAAAGGTGGGAGACCCTCATGTCCATCCTCCAAAGTGTTCGTTAAAATTTTGCACAGCTGTGCCATTAGTGTGGTGGGACTATACCTGTGTGACCATTGTGAAATTCTGGTATTCTACCCACTTCTACCTATACTTGTAATCAGGTTTAATATTTTTTTCCTCCAAAAGGGACTGTTGAATGTTGCTAGTACTTTTTTCCTTCTTTATAATTATTATCAACTGGCCTTTTGAGGGAATTCTGTATGATAGGCTTCTCATTATTTCGCAGATTCTTTCACTTTTCTTTGTGCATGATCTTAATCAGTAACACCATCTTACCAATAAATCACATTATCTTATAGCTATAATGTAAAAGAGAAAGAGAGGGAAAATTTTTTCCGTTTTTCTGAATTCAAAATAATGTTTCATTTATTTATTATTAAATTTTCATACATTTTTTCACTTTTTTAAATGTTTACTTGTAAAAACTTTTAAGCTGTATATGAAGAGTAATTACATTATGAGAACATACATCAAGCCATGTTATTTTCGCTTTCTTTAATATTTTTATTACACTTTATTGGGACTGTGTCAGTACATTATCTTTTTTTTCTATTTATTATTACTATTTTATGTTATTTTTAACTGCTGATGAAATTATAAAACTGTAATGCTCACAAGAAATTAACAGTAAAACTGCAATCAATATGATATAAACACAAATTAAAAATTTTGGTTTTTGTGAGAAAATTCTGGATACCTTACATAGAAGTTATTGTAAAGTGTTAATTTTATTAATTCATTTTAGGAAAAAAACTGGTGAAGTGCAGAAAGCCGGCCATACAACTCCAGGAGGCACCAGCAGTGGTGTGAGTTCTTTTAAACAACCTCCGTCAGAGCCAAATATTGACTTTGAACTAGATGTTAAGGTGTTTTTTAACAGTGGTAAATGTGTTTTACATACAAAAGATTTTAATAAAGACAGAGAAGAAGAATTTATGAAAAGGTAATTTTTCTTCTTATGGCTAGTGTCAGTTATAATGTGATATTTTTTTCCAGCCTAAGTCACTTATGTACATTACCTTGACAGAAGTATTGTAACACTTGATACAATAGACATATTTTCTAAACTCTTAGTAAATAAGATATTGATCTACTCCTCGCTGCTGTCACAGCTTGGCATTCTGAAAGATGTTTGACAAACTTCTGGAGTATTACAACCAGTGTTCTAATTAATTTTTTTATAGTGAAGAGGAGCAAAAACGTAGTTATATAATGCAGTCCTCTATAACAATGACTCCAAATATGACGAGTGTACTTTTTCATTCTGCCCAATTTCCTACACATTTAATGTTATTTTATAATATTATAGTAACCATCTCTAAAAATATGAAAATTGAATGTATCAAAGTTCTATAGATATCTTTAGTTGAATTGTTGTTATTATTTTGTATTTTTCATATTTATTTAAGAAGTAGGGAAAGTGTTAATGAAGAAATTACTAACCATCAAAATCGTTCATTCTTAGGATGTTAAGACCCATATTTCATCCATAAAGGAAAACATCTTTATATTACTTTTTTATCTTCACCTCTGTTGTTCTCTTTGTTCTAAACAAAGGCTCTGCAAGATAAGTGTGAACCTTATTATAGGAGCTTGACACAATCTAGTACACCATAAGGTGTTCTTGACCAATTAACCAAAGAAGGGGAATGGGTTCTCTGATTCCATTCAAATTCTTTGATTGAGCTGTCAGACAGAGCTCTCTATTCAAGGGTGATGCTACAATGGGAACTATGAAATTTTCACTATTCAGAGAAAGAAGAAGTTGGGAGTCTTATGAGCTTAAGGCTCTACATATAATTCATCTGAAAAAAAAGGATTTGTGTATTGCTAAGTGGCTTAAAAAAAGTAGTTTTTCAATATTTTTATAATGTGATATGGAATTTTTACAGTCATGCAGTGATAACGTTGTTACATGCAAATATCAAGCAAGTCATAAAGATATTGTAATAGAAATTAAAAGGCGAAATGCTAAAATTGCCAATTCTTTATTTGAAGCTGATAAAAATGTTGAGGTATGTAACATACAGAAATAAACTCCCTATCACAGTAAATGCCACGGCTATCTATTCAATGAGCATCATTAGTAAGTTTTTTATTCTTACAAACTATTGAACTAAAAGTTGTAGAATCAATGTTTGGACAAAAGTATGGATAAAATTTTTCTGCTGTTTGCAGCCTGTTAGCAGAAAGTTACAGATAATTTCCATATTCAGAATTTAAGCAAAAGTTAAAGGTAAATTTGTCTTTTTTTTTTTTTTTTTTTTTTTTGTTATTCATTTTTATTGCTTTTATAGTTTTATGGATAAACTAATTATTCATAATTATAAATGTGTAATTTGAAGGAAAGATCAACACCAGGATATTTATTCTAAGCAGTGTATCATGTAAAATTATTAACATATAGTGGAACTGAAAAAGAAATATCAACAAATTTAATAACTGCATCTGATAATAATTGTAATTAAATCTTTGTATAATTTTTAATCAGATTTCTTATTCACTTCTTTTGGCAGATGTGACAATGTTAATCAGTTTTCTCATTCATTTTTCAATTTTTACGCATTTTGGGACATTCATTTTTCTTATTGGATCACATATAGCAAACCAAACTTTGGTCCCTTTAAGTTTGTTATAGCTTGTTTCAACTGTACATCATTTGTGTCATCAAGAATGTTTTGTATTTAATGTCATGAAATGAATTGAATTGAGTATGCTGGAAATAAAACTTTTAACAAAATCTAAAAAATACCCCACTCGTCTTGCATGTACTCACTTGGATTAATCTTGCTTCTTCGTAATTCCCATTAATTATTTTCAGGCCTGTCTAAAAAAATAATGTGGTTACAAGCCTTGTTATCCAAGTAAAGGTTTGTCATGCTAATAAACATATAGAGCTGTGCTAAATTGTTTCCGCAATGTAGGCAGCACATCGTTGTCAAGAAATCCTTGTAAATATGAGGAACTATAGTTTTTCTCTGCAGAAGCTAATTCAGTTAGCCTTTTCTAAGAGAAATAACCCATAATGTAGTGCTAGTACTACCTAATTTTAAAGTCGACACAGGGCAGATAAGCATATGGTATTAGTCTTCACATCCATGTATGACCTTGAGACTGCCTAAATATGTTGCAGAATTAGCTCTCCACAGCACATTTTCATTGCTTTGTAGTACAATTGCAACATCTTTGCGCTTTTCTAACTAGCAATGATCTTCTTTGCGCTGTTCTAACTAGCAATGATTTTCTTTGCACTATTCTAACTAGCAATGATGTGATTTTTGGCACATGGTAATTTGTACACTTAGCCTAAACAGTCATGCATTATCTTGATATATACCAGGAATAGCTGTTACTTTTGCTTACAGAAGTAAGCCATTTGACCAATACTTTACAGCAGTTGCTGTCTTTGAGTTTTTGAAACTTAACACTTTGAGATGTCTAGCAGTTATTGCACTATTTTTTCCAGTTTTATGCTGATATTATTAACACTGAAAAACCTTCAGCAGTTTAACAAGCTTAAAAATCTCATGAACCAACTTTCCAGTGACTAAAGTTTCCGCACTATTAAGTGGTTCATTGGTCATTATGTCAAATTTATCAACTCAATTCACAAGTAATAATAATAAAATTAATTTAATTAATAATCAGCATATCACAATTTGATGATCTGATACTTCCGTCCTTTGTTATTCCTTTCTTACACTAGTCTGCACAACAATAGTGCCCTCAAGCAATGAGCGGATTTATCCATACTGCTCATTTAATCTCCCATGGAGTTTACATTTCAGCTTTCAAATATTTAAGTAATAAATTTAAATTCAATAAAATTATCATAAACTAAATAATAATCATCAAACTTATTAAAATATGTAAAATAAAATAAAAGTCATTCAAGTTCATGTTAGTCACAGTTTGCAAACTGCAGTGGAGTAACTTTGGTGGTAGCTCCCCAAAGAACACCTGTAAATAGCTGGACCGCTACAACTCTCACAAGTCTGTCATGCCCAGGATACACTTCTTGGATGTGACCCAGTGGCCAGTTCAAAGGATTGGAATAGCAGTTCTTCAGCAGCACCAACTGACCAACTTAAAATGAGTTGTGAAACATTCCATTTAACATAAGTTTGGAGTTGGTTCAGATATTCTGAATGCCATCAGTTCCAAAATTTAGCTTGGAGTCTGATCAGTTCTCTCCTTGGAAGAAAGCAGTGATAATGTGCAGGAATTCAGAGTGGCCTCTATTTGATTAACTAATGTGGTTAACTCTTCAGATTCACTGATTTTATGTTTTCTTCCCACAGTCCTCCAAAATGTGGAGAAGCTGGCAGGATAAAGTTCCATTGGATGCCTTCTTCTGCACCAAATCCTTGAATTGGTTTAGATTTACAAATTTCATTTCATGCCTTGAGAATGTTTCCCGCACCTTCAAAATTTCATGGCGTTGCCACTCCAGATGATGGAAGGTCTGGATCTTCTTGCAATAAATCATTGTAAACATGCTAGAAATACTTCTATTAAATCAGGAATGACTTCTAAGTGTGTGGCCTTTGTGCAAAAACAAAAGAATAATGCAATATAAGATTTTAAAATAACTTTTGATCTTTTCAAATAAGATTAGTGATTATGGGTCCCACAAAATCTAATCCAACCATATGAAAAGGTCTGGAAGGCACAACTCTGTCTCTGATGAGTGATGCACTTATTTAGTACTCTTCTAACTCAGTCTTTACCTGATGGTATCCATGTCTTATTAAAGATAATGTGGTGTATATACCAGAGTGCAAGGTTTTTCTGTGGTAATGTTCAATAATTAAATGAGTGAAATGGTGAGCTTTTGGCAAGAGTGTCCGATGTTTTTGAAATTCAGAAATAGCAAAATACTTCATTCTCCCTCCCACTGTCAATAGTTCATTTTTCTTAAGAAGTACATTCAAGGATAATATTTTACTATTTTTGGAATAGATTGTCTGTTTCTAAGCATTTTATATCTGTTCAGAATTTCGTTACTTGCACAAGTTTTGCTAAAACTTCAGTAGCATGTCTTAATTCAGAAGCACACATGAAGGCTGTCCTTATTCTGGATTCACTTTACTTGAAAATCTTAAACATAAAGCAGTTATCCTAATTAATTTACTGAATGAGGAGTATCTTGTGATCAAATCATTTTCAGTTTGGCTATTTTCAACTGTTGTGTTTACAACAACTGATATCTTAAACTAACTTATCGATATCTATTTTGGTTTCCTCCGTAGATTCTAAGAAGGATGAACATGCTGTATCATTCATTGTCGACCAACAGAGTCCATGCTACTGGAGTTGGTTAATCTTGAGCTCCCTTAAAGATAAACTCCTACATATCAAATCGGTGGGATTATCCTTTCCTGTACAAAGACCTTTGTGTCCTTTGCGTTGCTCTACTTTTGTATTTCTTTTATTCTATTTTTCAAAAACACCTTATATATATCTATTAGAATTGCCCTCGAACCATTAATAAGCTTCTGATGAGTTAATCCAAAAACATTAGTGCAGTAACAGGAAAACTTAATAGCGACCATGCTTGTTCAAAATAAATAACTCACAGTTATTTATTATGAGTAAGCATGATTGCCGAGTTACCATATTTTGAGATCTGCAGTCTTTAATATTTATATCTAATGAATTCAGCTAGTCCAGTACTACAGTTTCGAGTGGTACATCAATATGTGAATATATAGACTACAGAAAGCCAAGCATTGACTATTATATAACAATAGCGCAATATGATAGCAAGTAGATCAACATGTGTTATATCAGTTGGAGAGTCAACTATTATGGCGTAGTATATTTCAGTTTTTTAAAATGTTCCTAATTTAATTAATTCAGCACATATTACCAATGATGAATAAATTTACATAGCCTTTTGTGTTTGTGCCAGATTTTTGTATATGAGATGCCAAAAATGCCATACATGAAGCTAGAAACTCCATTTTGAGCGAACTACATTTGAGTGATATTGGTAATACTGAAATATTCATTATGCCATACAATACATTTGAAAGCTTGCTTCAAGTTTTATTGTTGCAATAAATCTCAAACATTTTCCTAGAAATTGCTTTCCCCCTCAAATAATGAGTTTCAGTGTTTGTATCAACACAACTATGTATATAATTTCTTGCTACGTATGTTTTTTATGGAGTTCATATATATTCAGTATGTGAATGGAAGAAAAATGCTCAGGTATATAACAACAGATTAATTTACTGTTTTTACTGTGCTATTCTCAATATTTTCAGCATTTGCTTTTGCATGTTAAAGAAAGTCTTTCTTTATTCAGTGACCTTGCAAATTTTTCCCCAGCTTCTTTAACAGTTACTTTTATTGTATATGCTATATTTAACAGAAGTTTATTATGTTTTCTTCTATCCTTTTTGTCTAGATTATCATTTGTCTAGATTTTCTGTATCTTCTTTTACTTGATGACAAGTGTAAATTTTACTGCTATTTCTTTCACATATATTAACAGTTCATTTTGTTCTGTCACCTTCATTTCTGTTTTCTTTTCACTTACCGTAATTTCCGGAAGAAACGCCGCGGCGTTTACATCTTTAAAACTTAAATTTTCAGCGGGTGCGGCGTTTTTCCCATGCGGCGTTTACGTGCACTAAAAATAAAATATTTCCTATGATGTCATGGCATAGTCATGAATGACCTTGCTATTGTACATAGTTTGGATGGCCTTATCATTGTGTACATAGACTTGGTGCTGTTCCCTCACAAAAAACTACTCAGTTGCTTTTTGCGAACGTTTATTTTGTTTATATTCTTTCCCTTGAACGGACTTACATGCCTTATTCACCCTAAACGAGATCTCAGAACAATAACATTCTTCCCCCTTTCAAATCAACATTCTCATCAGTTCGAATAGTCTCTCTCCTCTGCCATTCGATGAATCTTCCTGGACCCATCCTCTCCCCACCCCTGCCTTTTCTGCACCAAAGGCGGACACGACTCCACCTGCCTCGCAATAACGAACTCTGACGTATTTCCCCTTCAGCATGAATGGATTTTTCTTGGTATTCTGCCAGATACAGATCCCATCAGTTTGGGTACAAGTACTTGTTGGATAGTTTTTAAGAAAGAAGGGAGCAGAAAATTTTTGAAAATGTTCCTAAACGGCACTGAAGCTATACTGCTGGTTTTAAGCTTAATGTAATTTCATGTGCTGAACAAATTAGAAATCCAGCAGCAGCTCGAGAGTTTGAAGTGGACGACAGATGTATTTGACGTTGGAGAACTGAAAAAGAACTTCTTAAAAATATGCCACAACAGAAACGAGCCAAAAGAAGTGGTACTGTAAGGTGGCCAAATTTAGAGGACAACATTGCAAACTGGATAAAGGAGCAATGAGGAAAGGGAATGTCAATTTCGACTGTAAAAATTCGCTTACAAGCAAAATTTATAGCAAAACAAATGAACATCAATGATTTCAAAGGAGGTGTAGCAGATTTATGAAAAGAAAAAATATTTCTGTGCGTACTAGAACAACAGTCGGGCAACAATTACCAATGGACTGACAGGATAAAAAGTCATCTTTTCTAAAATATGTGACAGCTATTATTGACAAAAAAAAAAAAAAAAAAAAAAAAAAAAATTCTTCGGTCGCAGATAATAAATATGGATGAAACGCCGTTAGCTTTCGACTCTCCTGCAAACAGAACTGTTGATGAAACTGGTGCAAAAACTGTATCTATGTTTATGACGGGGCATGAAAGAACGTCATTTACATGTGTATTAGCTTGTGCCGCAAACGGTGACAAGCTAAAGCCGATGATCATTTTTAAATGAAAGACTATTCCGAAGGGAGATGGTATGTCATATATCAGGACTTAGGTTGAGTTTTTGCATCTATACGGCCCACGACGATGTCACGCGCAATTTAATCTGTTGCTGCGTTTCTGTGTAATTTTAATTTTTTCTCCGCCATTTTTCTCGAGTGCGACGTTTCTGTGTAATTTTAATTTTTTCCCCGCCATTTTTCTCGAGTGCGGCGTGTATGCTGATGAGGCCTTTCTTCCGGAAATTATGGTATATGCCTATCCAGATCTCATCCTTTTCCTCTTCATTTATTGATGTTGGTTATGTCTCCATCTTCTCCCCTTTCTCTCTTTCCCTTTTCTCTCTCTCTCTTTTTTAATGCTTGTACAATGCAACTTTTTTTTTAAATGTCGTTTTTTTTTCTGCTTTGAAATTCTGACTTCTGTTCGTAACTTATATTTGGCATTGAGATTAAATAAGTAAAATAAAAGGGAAAATAAATAGTACTTGTAGGAATAGTAACTGTAGTTGCAAATGGGTAAACAGTGAAAATATACATGAAAACATATTTGTATATTTGGAGTTTTTACATTTGCATAGTTCACACAAACTTCACACTGTTACAGTATGTAGCAATTCAATTTTATGTATTTCTCAATTATTATAAGGACATTTATTTGTGTTATTTAAAAATAACAACATAAATATTCTTTATTAATAAATATTTTATTAAAGTTGTTTTCATTTCTTAAATTTATTACAATTATCATCATTATTGCTATTGTTTATCACTCTTCCATACTGAAGCCATGCCCCTCTAAATTATGAGTCATAGATATTTATCTTGTTTATATGTTTGATCTTGTGCTGAAACTTACTAAAGTGCAACAAAGCTTATATTAAATTGGGCCTACTTTCTGATGGTTAAACTTTATTGTTGATTATTAAGGCATAAAATTATAGCGTATGAAATAATTATGTTCTTTATATGTGCTTTTACTCAAAACATTTGATATTCCTGTTTACTACTGGAAGTTGCAATTGGACTAAAAACCGTAAATAACATTTTCAGATCAATGAGGAAAGAGCGTAGCTTTTCTGGTGGAGGTTTTGATTTGTCTTCTCCCAGTCATGCAAAGAAACGCCATGGTAGTGGAATGAGAAATAACATGTCTGCATCCCGTTTACGTTATGTTCAAAGTGCTCCTACAAATCAAGTAGCTGACTTTACGATATTTCTGATACCCGGGCTAGATGTTAAAGTAACTATATTTGTGTTAAAAATCTGTACTGTAAAAATGTTAAAATGTCATATGCTTTGTTTTCTTTATTATATTTATTGAAATTATAGTATTTACAGTAATTTTCATTTAATTTATAATTGTTCTTTAATTTATAATTGTTATTACGGCAGTAACTGACGTCCTTCAGCCATCATATGAAATAAAAATATAAGCGATTTCACATTCTTCTATTGGCTGCCAATAACAGTAGTTTTGATTATAATTGTTTGCTTCAAATTTATTTTCCATTCTGCTGTTTTTTTTTTTTTTCCAATTATGTTGTTTAGGAATATCTTAGTGTGTTATTCTTAATTTTTTCCAAAAGCATGAGTATAACTCCGTATGATTATATTGCTTTTATTTTGTGAAGTTTGTAGAATCATTAGGGTTTTTGAGGCTGGAGATGTGAGAAATGTGCAGTGCCGTCGACGGGACTCAAACACTGCGGCTCTTGAATACACGTTGAGCATGTTTTCAATTACATCACGAAGGTATGCAGAAAGGAGGGAGAAAGTACTTATAATTTACATTAATTTGAAAATATGCTCAGTGTGAATAACTCACATGATAGTTCTGTATCAGAGTACTGTGAAACTATGCCAAATTATTAATAACACTGTTGGATATATGACAGGTGCAGATAATAAATGTGCAAATTTATTCATGGAAGAAAGCAAAAGACTGTTTTTTATTTGGAATAGAGTTACTTTGTTTTTGATTATTATGTGCGTTTTGACAAGTAGTTTTGTTTGAAGTATTCTGCTGATCATAATATCTAAAAAATTGCTGTCTCCTCAAAAAATGTTTGATTATTTGCTGCATATATTACATACAAATATGATATATGGTTTATGATATACCATAATGCATAGAAATGTAGCACAGTTCTTCAGAACTGCTAGATATGACTTTATGCACATTTCATATTCTCTCAAAATTTAAGCTTCAGATTATCGAAGATCTTTCACAGTATGCTTCCCATGAAGAGTCCAAATTGCTTTGTTAGTCATTGTAACTAGTATGACCCTTTTTTTTACACTAGACATTTCAAATAGAAGACCGGGAGATGTCTAGAAAATGTGGTGGTCACAGTTCTTTGCAGATCAATCAATCACCAAAGAAGGAGAAAATTCCATTCATGCTCACCGCATGCATGACACATTACTGCATTCTTGAAAGTACCACATTGTTAAATAGGTAGCTGTTTAATTGTTTGAAATAAAATTGTCTAAAAATGATCATGTATGCATGTGATCAGTATGTACCTGAATAAAATGATGCCAGTTATTTTGGTTTAGAGTTATTATTATTTGCCAGTTGTTTGTTCTGCACACAAACTTTGGATTTACAGGATGTAATGGATATTGGTGTAATTCACAAAGACCAGTTGGATTTGTTGTCCAGATTGACATCGTGATTAGTGACCTGGTGTTCTTATTGATGGGCTTGGGTTGAAATCCTAGAAAAACATGGGCGCTCGTAAGTGCATAATGTTTGCAGTATGGAGGCACATGAAATACTGCAGAGTCAAAAGTCCTCCTTGAGTGGTTAGTGGTGGGGGCAAAGGGGTAGAAGGCCTTCAGACTGTCCCCTGGACTGTTCTCCATCAAAATTGGGGCAGAGTTGCATAGTTAGTTTGGTGGGATTATCCCTTTATAACCAGTGGTGAAATTCTAGTGACAAGTGGGTGAGAACCCATTTGTATCTATACCTGTAGCCCATATGGAATTTTAAAAAGTTTTGTACCTACCCAAATTAAACCAAGCTTTGTCGTAAAGCTGCGCAAGAATCAAAATGTTTGGAATTGCAAGTAAACATTAAGAGCTATTAAAAATAAAATAATTTTTTCTTGTGCTTTTACCTTTCAAATCTTACACATTGCACATTGGGAAAGAAATAAAAATTTTTTGATATCTTTCTGGAATTTAGGTTGCAAATACCTTGTTCTTTGAAATGCTGTAGTGAATTTGGTGATGATACAACTATGAATTTATAATTGCTAATTTTATAAAGCTGAACTGTCACGAAAAAGATCTAATGAAAACAAAACTGTGTTTCTGTAGAAGGGGAGGAAATGTAATTAGCTCGTTGATGATAACTTTCGCGTGAAACCCCTAAGTAATCTTTAATTGACATGGGTTGTATGGAAAAACTCTGTGTATTTCAAGACAGACAGGTTATTTCTTTTCTCCATGAAGCAAAAGTATTCTGCATTGTTGGCTGATAATATGCTACTGAATTATCACAATAAATAATGGGGAAACAGAAGAAGCAGTAAATGTATTGGCATTTATCAAACGGAAAAATATGTGGTAAGAAGGTATCTAAAAACCTTTGGGGCAAACTAGTGGCAATGCAATCATTAACTGAAGTTGGTACATTATAGTGAATGTGGTATAACTGAAGAAGTCTTTTGAATAATTTCGGTGCATTTAAAGTAGAAAAATGCTGAAATGAGTATCAGTGGTTTATTGTATTGAAAGAAATCGTGCTTTAAATATGAAGAGGCACGTTTTTAAGCATATGTATATGTTTAAGGACTTTTTTATGCTGAAATTCTAAGTTTTTTATAAATGTGGAGCCTTGCATAAGCTATTGGTTTGGTCAAAAAGTAGAGTTGAACTTCTGCAGTTACTAGTATACTCATGTTTTCCATTACAGTGTAGATTCCTTAACTTATAAAATGTGCTAATATTCTGATAATTGATATTCAGTATGCTCTTTAATGTTATGATATGTTAAATATTTTGATTTGATCCAGTAATGAAGGTGACTATATTTTTGAAAAATTATGTAGTTTTATCTTCGTAAAAGGAAAAACTTGGTCCAGAAAATGAAAATCTCTGGAATGTGCATGGTAATAGTACTGTTAAAGAATAAATTACAAAAATATTTTTAAAAAATTAATTACAGATATCTTTGTAGCCAATGATAAATGTTCTGTTATGCCTTCCAGGACTGATAATGGGCAGATTTCCACATTATTTAAAAAATACATATGTCACTTAACATGTAATTGTTAATTGTTTCCACATTATTTAAAAAATACATATGTCACTGAACATTTAATTGTTATATCAAAAGTACCAAAGTACAGTGTTGAAAACCATTTGCAAAAGCTTGAAATGATTTCGATCCAACAGAACATTTTGGCTGGCTCTATAGAAAGAACTGTTTAATGAACTTGTTTTATGAACTTTTGTAACCTTATTGATATGAAATAAGAAGTTTTTAATATGGCTTAAATATTTCAACATGTACAATTGTCCATTCCTTACAACTTTTACTTTCAAAAATATTTTTAGGTTCATTACAATTCCAAAACAGTGTCTGATGATAGTCCAATAACAAGTATTAATGGATCTGTGAAGTATTGTTCTGACATTGATCAAAATACTCTTGACTCCCTGTCCTATCGTTCATCATTGTTAGCTGTTGACCCACTGCAACTGAGTGGTAGTAATCTCAGAAAAGTTGGAATTAAGAAGGCATGCCTCTTTGCTTGGGTTACGCTGCAGAGTATTCCAGAGGTATGAATGTATTTTATCCAGTTTGAATGTATTATGTATATGTGTTATGAATTTGAGTAAGATAACTATTTCTTCTGTGTAGAAATTGCATTGTGTTTTAGTGTAGACTTTTTTATTGGCATTGCAATTGTACATGGAGGTTATTTTTTCCTGGGATTTCTTCATATTGAGTTCCAGATCTTGCAAAGTATAAATCTCTGTTTGGTTTGACCAAGGAAAAATAATAACAAAAATACATTTTTCTTAACTAATCCTTAACTATGTTTTCTGTCTTGTTATTTTATCACCAAGGAGTGGGGTGTATCAGTTGCTATTTTTCATCATATAATAATCATAACTGCATTATAGCTAATGTCAGTAAACAATCCCTTAAAAAGAAATTCAGGTATTTCTTAGGTCAGCATGATTCTGAGATCTCTCTCCTTCTGGGGATCAGCAGTACATTATTTATTTTTGGTTGAATGCCTTTGTTGTTGTTGTTGTTTGTTGTCTTAAAATGAAACTTTGGACCCAGTTGATTTGTATCATGACATGGTTATGATTGGTCATTTTTCAACCTTTTTTAAGATACTGTTTAAGAATTTACAGAGTGTAGTATTGTGTTATGTGTGTAATCCATTCATGAATCTGGTATCATCTCTCTAGTGTTCTACTGTTTATGCTTTGGTGAATCATTAGATGTATAAAATATCTGTGCATTACAAGAGTTGCATTGCATTCGGACCATGTTTCTGTAAGAATGCTACTTCACAGCTATTATGACTGATGCATTTTTGGCTGCTATATCCAAAAATGGATTTTGGAATACAAATTTAACTGGTGTACAGTTCTTTAAAAAAAAAAAAAATTGAACCTAGTCTCTACCACATGGTTGGCCTAAAACACAGTTTGAGAATTTATGGATGGATTGCAAAGCAATGTTATGCATATTATCTAGTAATCATATTATCTGCATCTTTAATTTGGAGCACAAGTTTTAGTGCTCTGCTCAGTCATTAAACATAAAATATCTGTGCATTATAAAATTTTAATTGAACTTCCTGTGTGTAAGGACAGGGCTTATATTGCCAATATGATAGACCTATTCATTTTTTATTCTGGATTTTGAGAAAATACATTTTCTGTTTTGAAGGAAAATAGTGAATTATGTTTCTATGGAAGCTGTATTATTTCAGAATTGATTATAAAATATGCCTGTACTTAATTACAACATAATAGTTATATTAACATCCCTCGTTAAACAGTCTCGATGAAGTCCAACCAGAAGAATTTTACTACTATTTATTTATATGAAGCTTAAATGAGCATTAAGAATTCAGTGTTAATGGCCTATAATAAAGGTTAGGGATCTTCAAGATAGCCTGAGTACTTGGCTGAGGATTCGAAGAGAAATAAAGAAGGTAGATAAAACTGCTTCATCTGCTACTGTTAACAGCATTGCAGAAGGCTTTGTGAAGAAACCTTGTAGCTACTTGAGTTTCACATGTAAAGGATTTAATTATAACCACAGATTACTCCCAAGCATCGGATATTGTGATAAAATTTCCCAGTGCCCTGATTATGTTATAAATCGCCTATTTCCCAAATGAATGGGGGGGATTGGAGTTAGAGTATGTATTGCAGTTTTAGTATTACTTCGTAATACCGCTAATAGTTAATGTATTCTTTGATAAGTGCAGTGTATGAAAATGCATTATGAGAGCAAATTTGTATTTATCTTTTAATTGAAGGAGCAGTTAGTGAAAAATGGTATGACATGTTAGCTCATTTCACAAAGCTAGATATGTATGCTGAGAATCTGAAGTGCCTTGTTAATGTCTGCGTCACACATACACTTTCAGAAACAAATACAACAGGGCAGGGATGAAGAACTGGAAAAAAGACAGTGAACGGTTTAATCATTGCAGCGATCCATTTTCTCTGAGTACTACATCCAAATATAAGAAAGGAGGAACCAGCTTGAACAGCTCTAGAAATTTGGCAACTGTTTGATCAATTAAAAATATGAATTTATTTTTCTGTATTTTTAAAGAACTGAATTTTTTCAATGTGTTTTTGAATAGTAATTAACTCATTTAATTGAAATATTTGTTTTTTGTATTGTGTACATTTTTATATTAGTAACTTGAAAATGAAGTGGTAAATATTTAACAGATTTCTTTTCGGTTTTCATTACTCCCCCCCTCCCAAAATGTATCAGGCTCTTTAAGTAAGTATTTAGCAAGAAAAATCCTAGTTAAAAAGAAAAAAGAATTTGGAATTTTAGCATAGAACTGGAATCTAACTTCAGTCTGTAAGATCGTCGCTATCTGTAGAATGTAAGATATAATATTTAAGAATGTTGTAATCTGATTTGCTGGTGTACCTTATATGAGCTAATATAACTCAGAGGGTAACCCTTTGATCAGAAATTATGCTCAGTGATGTCATTTAAAAAAAAAATAAAATAAAGGAGAGAAATATGTGTGTAAGGTAAATATGATTAAAGTATGCTGCAGTTTTTAGATGTTGTTCATTTCTTCAGTAAGTAATTGTTTGTAGATCACTTGTAATACTTTATTTCCACTGTTATTGTAAAGTAAACATGGTAAAAGTGTTGTTTTTCAGTACCTGGTCAGGGAAAATAGAACTGTTCTTATTTCGTTATTGTAATTTGCATGAAGAGAGATTTACCGCTTTTGTTTATTTTCTTTTGAGCTTCCAAAATACATATTTATTTCTGTATATTTTAGGAAGCTGTTGTAAGTCCGCATATATTGGATTTTCTTGAACAAGCACTAGAGCCAATACCAATTCAATTGACCAAAACACCACCTGTATTAGGTGAGTAAATTCATTATTGATAAAGCTATTGGCTTGATACTAGTATATGTAATCAGTGCTTGGAACAAGTTAATTTTTAAAGAGTAAATGTATAAAGTTATATATCAGTTCTAGTTAAATAGCCATTCTATCTTTAATTAGGCTCATGAAATATACCTAAAATATATTGCATAACTTTCTGGAGTTTTTGTATCATGTATTACATTCTGGGATATGATTTATTGTATTTGCAAGTAATGGTATGGTCCTTTTGTTAATAGTAAATGCTAATGAAGCCCACATGGATCTCCTGAAAATTATTTTTGAAAAATTGCAATTTGTTCTGAAGTGTAATTTAGGGAAGAAAACTGGAAGTTGCAATCAAACTGCTAAAAGATTTTTCAGTTAATTTGGCACTCCACAGCTCATTGTTTTTAATCAACATTACAATTAGAAGATTCAATAAGAAACATTAATGAAATAATTCATTTTGAATCATTCATCAGCTTCCAATCAGCAAGAGTTAAATTACATTAAAGATGTATATGTCGAAAAATTAATAATCAACCATGTGCAGCATAGAATTTATGAATGGCTGCTGCTATCTAAGAAAGCATATAAGAACTATCTAGTTTTATGAAAGAATTTTCCATCAAATGATACATGTTAGGATTTTGTATATTATGTATGATATGAATCATATGAGGATAATTTACATATAAGGATCTAAGATTGCTTGCTTTCATGCACAAAATGCAGATGGACATTAAATTCACATAAGTTATGTGTAATATTTAATTAATTTCCATTTTTGTACTTTTCTGTAAGCATACAGTAAATATCCTGTTTTAATTACTAATAATCCAGATGTTCTGACAAGTTATATAAAATCTCTAATTGTGATCAGGCATAATATAAATGACGCTCACCTTTGGAGTTGTAAATGGGCTTGGATTCTTTATTCCCAAAATTTTTTTCCCTGCACCCTAAACTTTTATAGCCATTGTTACATCCAGAGACAAAACAGGTTCCAGATGCCATATTCATAGTGACAATAGATATTAAATCAGTATTTCCTCTATTATTGCCTATGTAAAATACTACAGTAAGGTGAACAGGTGATGACTGCAGTGTTCTCTATAAATAATGCTACTGAAAGGGGACTGTTTTGGGGAAAAGGGGTAATACAAGTTTCACCTTTTTCATTCTTTATACTCCATGTTCATTACACTAAGAGTTTGAAATGTAAACAAGTTTGCACCATACTAATTCAAAAATCAAACCGATTTGCAATTTTGCAGCTGAAGATGATGGTTTGGTAAAACCATCGAAACTAATCCTGTGAAAATTTGAGAATATAACACTGATTTTTGTTGTTTGACTTTGAATTAGTATTTGTTCGGCGTGTTATTGTGTCGAACCATGTTTGCACAGTGTTAAGCTTAGCTGTACTTAGACTTTAATACTGTTGATAATTCAGCAGCTACTACATGCAGATTAATTGAAAGCATAAAAGCCTTAACGTCAACATAAGAATAACATAATTCAATTACTTTTAAAGAAAAAAATGTGCAATTTACCAACATGTAAGAATAGAAAAACGGAACTTACCGAGCTGGGTAAGAAGGTGGGTGTATGTATGTATATGTTGGTGGTCGGTGTGTGTGTGTGTGTGTGTGTGTATATATATATGGATATTTTGGCAGTCGTGAAGCTCGGAATCAAAGTTCAGGCATGGCTGTTCGCAGAGTGGTAAGGAGGATATCCAAAGATGACACAAATTGATTTAGCTTTTAATTGCCCATTTTTATTTACTCCAATTAGCAGATCATTTTCCTTTTAGATAGCACTCTTTAAATTACATAACCATAGTGGTTTTAACTAAGTATGATAGAATTTAAATTTTATACATCATAACTAATTCTAACAAAGGAAGAAAAGATGGACAGGGCAGCGCAGAGTCTTGTAGCAGTGATATTAGGAAAAAATCTGACTGAAAAATGGTGCGTACTCAGTATTTATAGTAGCGGTTACATAATAGGCTAGCAAATTCTAGAAGGTACTGGTGTAGGGGGAAGATCCTGAATTGCAGAAAGTTAATTAAGGGTTGCATGTTCGCGTAGAGCAAAGCCATTGTACTTTTTTACATTTTTCATATATATATATGTGTGTATGTGTGTGTAAAATATAAAAAATATGATGGCTTTGCTCTACACACACACACACATGTATATATGCAAAATGTAAAAAAATACAATGGCTTTGCTCTATGCAAACAGGCAACCTTTAATTAACATTCCGCAATTTTGGGATCTTTACCCCCCAGACCAGTACTTTCTAGAATATTCTGGCATGTTACGTAAATGCTGCTATAAATGATGAGTTCGCACTATTTTTCGTCAGACCGCTTTCTCCCTCTACTGCTTGTTAAGACCTATACTGCCACTCTTCCCATCTCCCTCCTTTTGTTTGAACAGTATGCCTCAGTAAATTTAAAATTAATACCATTTAGTTCAAATTACTATCACATATGTAATCTTGGAGAATCAAAAGGAATAATGATCTGCCATTTTAAGTGAATAAAGGAGTTTAAAAATTTAAATTCTTCTGTGTCTTCAATTTGAATGCCTTCCCACTTCACAATGAC